ATGTTTACTGAGTGATTAGCGAATTTTTTAATATTAGGTGAAAACAGCTTGAAAACACAAATTTTCGTAAAACTCGCTTTTCGGTAGAATTTTAAAACTTTTCTAAAAACAAATATTGCCACGAGACGCATCGTGGTCGATTACACATAGTTCATCCGTCTTGAAGGCTACCAATCGTCACTGGGTGCCAGTCCTGGGATTCGTAGGAAATCCGATATAACGCCCGAAGCGTGGAAAATCAAGATGTCACTTGACTTTCAATTTGAAAAGGATACTCTGGGCTATCAGTCTGTGAAAACAAATCAATACAATCCTATTGGAAAATTTTTATACACGAGCTAATTTTCCAAAGATCTCCTGGAAAACCTGTTTCAGAAAGCTCTTCTGGGAAAATTTTTGGTTATGAAAACATGTCCCCAAGTCTCCTCTTTGGAATGGTGAAAATTGAAGCTCTTTAACTTTTTCCTATCGAAAGTTATTCACAGTCATATACCATTCTTTTTTTGGATGCACAATAGTTTCTTTGAATCTCATTACGAATTTTTCAAAAATCTTTAGTTTAAAATTAATTTTTTTTCCATCCAAAAACGTTGTTAAAATATATAAAAAAATAATATTCAGAACGAACTCATTAACTGTATCAGATACAAACAAATCAGCAAAAAATCGTTTCAATATAAAAAGATCAGACGCGAGTGTCTGCCAACCAATCTGGATCGAAAACGTTTTTTATGAAAGTTACGTTAAGGCTTTCTTCATAAATTCACCCGTCGAACAATAGCAGATTTTGTTTACTTTGAGGTGAATTTTGAATGTTAGATTTTCCAGTGCTCACTTAGATTTGAATGAACTGTGAACTACATCAGGAGAAAGAGCACGCTCCAAAGTACTCAAAAATATCTTCATTTTTGTTTCATTGTCTTTAGAGTTTTTTAAAATATTCTAAAATTTGTAAAAAGAAATAGCCTAGAAAGTTGATCCATTTTATTTTGTTGAGTATTCTTCATTAAATTTTTCTCCTTAACTTTCTGTAGAAATAAGTTTGGTCAAGTCTTGTAGAGAATTTGACGGCGCATCTTTTGAAAAAACAATCAGGTCTAAGGATTGAAAAGAAAAATATATATAAGCAAATTACGAGGAGGGACATGTATTCTGGGCCACCCGATAAGTGCATCTGAGAGCCATTTTTTTAACAAAAAGCTTAAATTTTTTCACCGAGATGTTTGAATTTTACAAAAATCCTAAAAATCAAAGTTTTGCATTTTACACTTAGACAAAATTGATGATTTTTCAACGCTTGTATCTCAGTAACGGCACATAATCAACACGCAAACTTTTTACCTGAGATACTGCAAAAGTTTGAACTTTGAAGTTAATTTTTTTGACAAACTGCGTTTTTCTTGTGTGGAACACTTAGCTTAGGGGTTTAATATAATTAGGCAGACCGACTTTTAGCGTTATATCAATTAAAGAATTCTTCGCACTTCACATAAGAAATACATCAAAATCTGCAGTTTTTGTGAATGTTCGAAATATTGCCTTTACAAAAGTTTCCTATATACCGAGCGATCAGGAATGATTGATTGAACTATGTTCTATACAAATAGGCCGAGGATAAAAAGTGGCTCTTGAACAAGTGTCCTTATGGACACTTTCTCAACTCGTTTTTAAATGTGAATTATAAAATAAAAATCAGCTAGACTTGATAAAAATTCTTTCCATTATTTGATGAAAGAATTTGGATGATGAGTTGATGTATGCGCCTGGTGTAGAACATATTTGATTTGCCCTCAAATAGAATGGATTTAAAAATTTTTGCTAGACAGAACGATTTGTTACAATATATGATCCGCTTAAAAAAAGACTTTATAGGTACTTCGTATTTATAAAAGGTTAAAATTAGTTACAGTATGAATGCAGATTAACCCTTTGTTTACCAGCGTCCGGAATTCAGGACGCTTTTTTTAAGTTTTCTGATTTCCGAATAGCTCTCGAACGCAAAAAGATATCAAGATCCGACGATGCAGTTTTGTCTACTGACCTCTAATATGTTATGTACGGTATGTGTTTTATTTTTTTTTTAATTTACCCGAAAGCCGGGTGCGGGTACAACGTTCTCGGGTCGGGTACGGGTACGAAAATGGTACCGGTGCACATCTCTAGTGAGAAAGACGCAAAATAAATGAAATGACTTGGGGTTAGGGTGAGTGTGAAGTCTTCTTGACAATATTTTACCTATGGATATTTTTTCCCCAAAGGTTTTATTACTATATTTTTACATGATTATGACGAATGTTAACCACAGAAGTTATGGTGGAATGGGCGACCCTTGGTTCCTCACCTTTGCCTTCCTATGTATGTTTCAATAGTGGATGCTCATTTTCAATGAATTTCTCAGTCCAAACAATAGTTAGCCCTCATACTTTGTGTGAATAATTTAAAAACATTTTAGAGTATCTGGTGCATTTTTGAAGTGGAGATAATATTTCTCGACTGACGTCGGGAGTTATGAATTTTTTTGGAAGAGCGACTCAAACTTCAAAAGTGACCCTCAGTCATAAAATAGCTGTATTTCAGTAACTATTAAGAGCTAACATTTCAAATTCATACCATAGATAGAAGAGAATCTGGGCTACACTTTGATAAAAGAAAAAGTGTTCACCTCTCTTGGGTCAGGAGTTATTAGCATTTTACGAGAAAGAAATGAAACGCTTACATCTCAAGAACCATCTAGGAAAAGAAGTCTAAACTTTGTGGGTGATCAGCATTCGGCGAGAACAATGATTATACAAATTTAGAAGTCCCTAGCTATCATAGCCGAGCAATAGTAAACAAAGGGTTAATCACTATTGCAATCTGTCTCTACTACTAACATTAATATACAGTCAAAAAAGAAAGAAATATGGATTTTGTGCTTTTTTTGCAGTCTACAGTGTATAGGTTTGTCAATGTGATTTTAGTTAAATATTTAAGGTAGATGATTTATTACAGTGCTACCATGGTCAATACTGACGTGTTCTCCTTTTTCGGTGATGTAAGAAAGAAAAAAAAATGTCATATTTTTCGGAAGTACGCAACGTGATATAAAGAATTACCATGTATTAAAGATAAACTACTTATTCCTCACTAACATTTTTCTCATATCTGTATGTGCATGTTCCATACTTTTATGAAACAATGGCTGACAATCAATATTAATGATGAAAATATTTGTGATAGTCTGCCCCAAATTGTACTTGTTCAAAAATTTTCCTATTTGACTATTGATGAACGTCCTGCACTTGCTAAAATATGCAAATTATGATATCAATCAAATCGTTCAAGAATCCAATCGTTTTTATTTTACACATGTACAATTCGTCTATTTTCTTATTTGCCAACATCATCATCATCATCAAACGAAACGACGAATCAATGTCGTGTTGGTCGAATTTTAGCACGCTCATTGATGATCGCGCGACTTTTAGTCGTTTCTCGAAAATAAAGAAAATATAAATACGAATTATTTAATGTACTACGCTTTTACCTACAAATGTGTAAAACGATTTCAGCATCATATTTACACATTTATATTAAACAACAAGATAAAATGACAATGTATGTACTATGCAAACTATTGACACTATTTGATGATGATAAACGACACAGACGAACATATAGTCTACATTTTATTGGTTAAAATCCCCAATGATGAGATATATTGATATAATCAATAGTTTACGAACATTTTTTCGTTATCATAGTCAAAGTTTACTCGTTTATGATCTCAGCCGTATCATGTTTTCACTGAACGATGTGAAACACGTATAACACTATCAAAATATAATGAAAATTTATTATCATTAAATTGCAAGGTCAATCTCTCGTTTGTCGCATCCCATTGTGTAAGTTATTCATTGATTATTTCATCATTCAATACAATTTTTTATGACTACAATTATTGCATTTAATTTCTATTCGTTTTCGCATATCATGCTTACTAATCTATATTATATTTAAATATTTTAGATGGTCTCATAGAGATAATTGATAATTTGAAACATCTGAATGTTCTCTCAGTCAATATAGTAGTAGTAACAGATGATGTATTACAATTGTTATTGAAAAGAGACAATTTGAAACATCTTGGTTTAAGAGTACGACGAGAAGAAAAATATTCGGATGAAATTAATCCACAATTATGGAAACAATTGGGAGAAAAACATACAAATTTACGTATGATATTAAATTTTGATATAACAACATTTGAATAGAATAGTTGCATACATGAAACAAGAAATGCAAATACCAGTAAGTTAAAGTCTACTTTCACACAAAATTGTTTATAGACAAGTAATTGAACTAACTGTTGTATATATCGATGGCTTTGAAAATTGGATAATAGTCAAACATATAATATTCAACCACAAGAAATGGATGACTTATTTAGCTCGATAAAAAACATGCGTATTTCGTATCGATGAATAAATTGTCATTTTTCATACTCACATTGTACATATACTAGCTTTTTTTTGAATAAAATAATAATTGTAGTCTATACTTATTAAAGAGAAAATCATGTTTTCAATGTTGAACATTCTTGTCAATTGCATTCGCTGTTCTTAATTTTGTATCTTTGTGTTTTATTAAATAATTCAATTGTTTAGCTGTGAATTGATCGTTGAACACTTTGTTGAATAAACCGATCAATATCTATTTGTGTAATTATCGGCCAAATATACTTTGAACTTTCGATTTTATTCTGTTGCTTTTTAGTGAAGGTTGTTTTTCTCACTAAATTTAAACGTTAGAGGACAAATGTAAATCTTAATTAAAGAAAAGTTTTCAAAATGTTCTTTAATGAATGCTTTTATACGTATGACTGCTACCTCTAACTTAGAGAATTAGATTCATAAATGTTCTATGGATAGTTCTTTTGTTCACTAAACGCAAATGGAAAGGTCAATGCCTTCAAGTTTTATATATATATATATACCGGTCGAGTTGACAAATCTGTCAGCCAAAACAGCTAGCTATAGACTGCTTTCTTAATAACTTTTTATTTCTTTCTTCTAAGTAACAAAATTTTTTTCATTACTTCTTTTTTCGCATCGATGAATTGAGCGCGTGTACGACAGAAATGAAGAAATATACAAGGGGCGAAGTTGATTATAGTAAAGTCGACGTATGTTACAAATCGTACACATACTGAATTTTTTAAAGAAGCACAAGAAATTTTACACTCCACCAAACATTAAAAAAGTTATATTTATAGATGAGACAATTGCATCTTATTATATTTATCACAAATTCATAGAAAAGTTCAGTGAAGTATTCATAGATTCTTAAAACGTTGTACATACGCACTGCGAGATTATATTAAAAAGCTTGTCAGCGTTGCCCTGGTACAAAAGTGAAACAGAAAGTGAAAAACAGCCATTTTGTCTCAAAAATCTCTTTTAACTGAAAACTTCGTTTTTCCTTCTGACGAAGACAAGCCCTGAAAGTTTTCAAAAAACGATCAGCCCGTTTTTTGTTATAGTTTTTTGAAAAATGACTACAATGGAAGGTTCAAATGATAAACAGACACCAGTTCATACAAAGAAAAAATCAATGGGTCTAATAAGCAGTATGGCTCTGATTATCGGCAGTGTTATTGGATCGGGTATATTTATATCACCCAGGGGTATTTTACTTGGTACTGGTTCGTATGGTCTGTCAGTAATTGTTTGGATTATATGTGGTCTGATTTGTATTCCTGGATGTTTATGTTACGCTGAACTGGGAACACTGATACCCAGTTCAGGAGGAGATTATACATATATTAAAGACGCATTCGGCGATTGGGCTGGTAGGAGAATATTTCAAACATATCTGTATCTCAAACATGTCATTATTTCACAGGATTTTTGAGAGTTTGGACAGAAATATGTTGTACTCGCCCAGCTACAATGGCTGTGTGTGCAATAACAGCCGCTATCTACATTCTGTACCCACTTTATCCTGATTGTTCACCGCCGCTATCTGCCGTGATGCTATTAGCATGTTTTTTCATAATGGGATTAATTATGGTCAATATACTATCTACACCAGCATCAATTCAATGGCAGAACGTAACGTTCTATGGTAAAATAGCTGCATTAATATTAGTTATTGGTTTGGGTATCTATCAAGTCATTCGAGGTCGATATCAAGTGTTTCTATCACCATTTGAAAATACAAAAACAACTACATCATCACTGGCCATTGCTTTTTATGTTGGATTATTTCCTTATTGTAAGTAGATATTATTGACCAGTGTCTAGTTCTGATATTCTACTTTTCTATTATAGCCGGTTGGAATTATTTAAATAATGCGATTGAAGATGTAAAAAATCCAGAAAAAATTTTTCCCATTGCTATCATGTCATCGATCATAACGTGTACAGTTATTTATGTACTCGCCTATAGTGCCTATTTTACGTCATTAACACCGTTGGAAGTAATGACATCAGATGCTGTAGCTGTTAGTTTTGCATCAAATATTTATCGTCCACTGGCCTATGTTATACCATTAGCTGTTTCACTATCAGCCTTAGGTAGTCTCAATGGACAAATATTTTCAATTGTTCGAATGTTTTTTGTTGCTGGAAGAGATGGTTTACTACCTCAAGCATCAGCACTGTTACACATTAAAAAAGATACACCTATCATTCCACTGCTTATCGAAGGAGCTTTAGGTTAGTACAAATAAAACTATATTCTCATATCGATAATCGATTTTTTAATTATGTGTTTAGGTATTATGTATGTCCTTGTTGGTGATGCCAATACTTTACTGAATTATCTGAGTTTTAATTATTGGATAGTATGCATGTTTGCTGCTGTTAGTGTTCTAGTATTTCGTCGAACAAAGCCAAAAAAAGAGTTTCCTCGTCCGGTGGATGCTGGTGTTATCGCGCCTGTTATATTTATAATAGCAATGACACTGTTAACCATTGTCAACATTATTTATAATCCAATTGAAATCATTGTTGGTATAGCCATATTACTATCAGGTAAATATCTTGTCGTATTTTTCATAAATAAAAGTTTTAAAAAAAATATGACACATCTTTTTTTTGTAAGGCTTACCCGTTTACTGGTTCTTTGTCACATGGAAAGGTAAACCAAAACAAATTGCATCTTTGGATAATAAAATTACGCGGACATTACAAAAATTGTTATGTATTGTGCCCGAAACAAAATTCGAATAGTTATTAGGAAATTTTTTTAGGTAATATTTTTCTTTTTCTGTTGTTTGTTTTTTAATAATTATACAAAAATAAAGTGTAGACTATCTTTATCGAGCTCAATATACATGATCTAAAACCAAAAGTAGCAACCTTATCAAGAAAAATTTCTCTAATTGATTGTAAAAAAATGGTTTTTGAATTGAGCATAAATTTTCACCTTTCTCGTTACTAGTCATTAACCACAGCTCCGGACAGAAGGCAAGTCTGACTTAGACACAGTGGGCAACCACGTGGACATTAGGGGAAAAAATGAAGGCGAGCGTTTTGAAGTTTTGAGTAGTATCATATATACTTTGACTCATGGCCTATTTAATGGCATAGAAATTTTTGTTCCGGGTTTTGTATTGAAGTGGAAAAGGGTAGCACAGAAACGAGGTCGAAAAACGTAGGGTGTACCTAAGAATAATATTTTTTATGAATTGTACAAAGTGTTTATGGATAAATCATACGTATTCTTTTTGTGCTGAAGGTTTTCCTAGAAGCCGCCTGCAGTATAGTGAGTTTTCACACTTTTCCACAACTCCAAATCCGATGAAACTTTCACAGAATATCCTTCTGATTGCGATACATCTTTACAGGCACCGTAAAGATGCATAAATGAGCCTGAGTTCCAGGTTTTCCAAAACATCTTGGTTTTTCAGATATTTTCCAGTTTTTTCAGTCTAGAAAGGCTTTTATCCAATAAAAATACGATATTCAGAATCAGTGCAAAAAGTTGAGTCGAATGATGTGCGTATTAAGTATCTCTGAACAGAAAATGTTTCGATCCGGTGTAATATGACTGTTTTAACGTATGGACACAACAATTTTGACTTGACACAGGGACATGTGTTAGAGAAATGGTAGCAAATCTCTAAACACTCTTTTTATAGGTTTTCGTATACGCTCTGTCTACAGGGAAAATTTTTCAAACTTTCAAAGCACGTTCGTACTGTTTTTTCAGAGACCGGATCTCTGCAAAACCTGTGCCAACACACTTTGAAAATTTCCAAACCACACCATTGAAAAGAGTGCCTAAAAAAACCTATAAAAAGTGTGTTTAGAGACTTAAGTACCACTTTTCTAGCACATGTCTACACACAAATGCCTACCACATGTCTAACCAAAGTTGCCCACTGTGGAAGAATGCTTTCGCTCAATCAAATAGACATTCACTAACCACGTACTAGCTTCCGGAAAGCTATACGAACTGGAATTCCGGAAAGCCATAGGATCTGTGCCGTACGTCACAACATAGTGAGTATGCTATCGGATGAGTAATCCGAGACACAAGATATAAGTAACTTGTCCAAGTTATATTACCTGCAGAAGCCACGGTTTGAATGCAGTGTGTTTGCAGAAAAATATTAGTTTGATTGGCAAAGTCATCGACACATAGTTTTCACTCACTTTTGTATTTTCCTTGTTATTTTCAGCATTGTAATCAAACAAAAATACAAATGAGCTCTTTGTGTTTGATAAAAAATGGATGGGTACCTTTTATTATCTCCGCTGTTTGTATTCTCACAAACACAGATTTATGTTGTATTTACATCACAATTAGATTAATGCTGATCAAAAGTAAATCTCTACTTCAGTATGAAACGATGCTATTCCAAGAGAAACAGATCCTTGTATTTCTGTAATATTTTTTCAGTCCCTGCTGCTTTTGAAAAAGATTTTCAATTTCAGTTTGGTTTAGTTCTATTTTGAAACGACTGAAACTGATCCCACCTTTGATCAGTACCAAAAAATCACTATCAAAATTATATGTTTTTATTAAAAAATCAAGGTACTTATTAACTGTTCTTTATTGTCTATAACGTTGAGGAAAACAAATCAAAACTTCACATTATTTCATTTTTACCGAACTGATCTATTTATTCAGCTGAAAGTGTTAGGAAATTATAATTTAATAGTTTAGAAAATATGGTGAATATATTCGATGAAGCAATTTTCCTTCTTTTTCTTTTGTTTTCTCACAAGGCTTTTTTGTTTTTCTGTTTAACTAAACAATATTAAGTTACACAAGTTCATAATATAAAATGCAAAAAGAGTCAATTGAACTAGTTAAGTAACAGTAAGTATGATTTTCCAACGTTGGCTTTATTCGATTTATTTCATTTCTATCCTTTTATTTTTCTTTGTTGTTTTTTTTCTCTAATTCTTCTTTTTTTTTTCCCTTCTTCATATCTTACCTAAAACTAACTTTCAATATAGGCAATAGTTCATTTCTTTTATTTGCATTTTCTATTGTGCAATTTTGAATGGATGTTTGATAAATTCTCTTCTCTACTTATGCACTTGTTCTAACGTATTTTTCGAAGAAATATAAAAGAAATAGTGATGTGAAAAACAACTATATTCAGTTTATAGCTATTTAACTGCTGTCGATTGCCCGGTTTGAAAATTTACCGATTTCTTTCTTTTATTTTGTTTTTTTTTCTATATTAGGAAATAAAAAAATATAATTAAATTTTGTGTGAATTGGTTAAAAATGGAAAAAAAAAAAAGATTTCTGTTTTGAGAAAATATTTTTCTCAATTTTTTACTCATACATGCAATATTATTAGCGTTTTTTCTTTTCTTCTTCTTCTTTCCCTGCTTTGAATCTATGCCCTTAACAAAGAAAAATGCTTTTCTCTTCTTTTCTTTTTTTTAACGAGATGATGTAGTTTTTTAAAAGATATCTTTAAAAATGAACTAAGTCGTTATTATTAATTTTCTTCTTAGTTTCATTAAACATTTTCTGGTTGATAAATGATTGTAAATCGACTAAGATATATAAATAAATGTGTTTCAAATTGTCAAGGGTGAAAAAAGTGTTGTTCTCTTGAATGAAAGCTATTAAAATTCCTCAAGCATCATTAGTCGATGTACACGGTAAACCAGTGGGATTAAATAGTGATGATCCAGACAAACACATAAAAAAAGGAGAATCAAATACTGAAAATAATAAAAATAATGCAAAATATGTACCAGGACCACAAGAATCAACTTTAACAGTAATAGGTAATTTTTTTCACCTTTTTTTTTATCTACTTTTTTTACAATTAATGGAAAATATACTTTAATTTCAGGAGAAACTCCTCTACATATTGCCATTGTTTATAATGATATTGAATCAGTTAAATTATTGATTAAACATGGTGTAGATGTTAATAAACGAGCGGTAGGCAAATTTATTGGTCCTGAAAATATCAAAACTAAAAAGAAATCGCCTAAACAATATAATCCGGATGAAAGTAATTATGAAGGTAAGTATAATCTTTCTTTTAAATATATCCTATTTTATCAATTTATATTTGAAAAATAAACAAAAAAAAGGTTATGCTTATTTTGGTGAATATCCATTGGCATTTGCTGCCTCATTTGGTCATCCAGAAATTTATGATTATCTAATTGAACATGGAGCAGATCCAAATCTACAAGATACTTACGGGAACACGGTACTACATATGGTTATTATCAATAATCGAGTGGTACGTTCAAAAATATATATATATATTGATTATTGTCATAGAATTAATTTTGTACAGGATATGTTCAAACATGCTGTTAGACATCCAATGAAAAAATCATTACCCGATATTCGGAATAATTCTGATTTAACACCGCTAACATTGGCTGCAAAATTAGGACGAAAAGATTTATTTCTTGAATGCTTAGAAACATCAAATGTTGTATGTATTCAGTCATTTTACATTAAAATGTTTTCTAAAACGTTCAAAAAAACAACAACAATTGTATCTATTTTAGGAAATTTGGCGATACAGTAACATTAAATGTTCAACTTATCCATTAGAGGGACTTGATACAATTACAGACGGTGGTAAAATAGGTTCGTATATTATTTTTTGTATTAGAAAGAAAAAAAATTTATTATACTTTGAATTATTCAAGATTGGAATTCTTCACTTACATACATTGTTAATGGAAAAACTGAAGAACATCTGGAAATGTTGGGCAATATGGTTATTGATCGTCTTCTTAATGATAAATGGTCAACATTTGCCAGAGTAAGAACTCAATGATTCTCTTCTATTCACTTTTAATGGATAATTTATACTGTAGGCTAATTTTATACGTCAACTAATTTTACTTATTATGCACATCTGTTTTCTCAGTACAGCTGTATTTTTACGTAGTCGTGATGATGATGGTAATGATGAGAACAATAAAATTACTCCTCAAAAAATTGTAAGTTCTAGAACTTTTTATCTTGATCTATACTGATTATTGTTGATTTAAATTCAGATTTGTCATATAGCAGAAGTTTGTGTTTTATGTGGATGTGTTTTGAGTATATTTGCGTTACAAGCAAAAGAAATATATTCTCAAGGATTCATTTATTATCTGCAAAATTTGGTATAATTTATTCTTCTCTTTATTAAAATCTTAGATTAAACGTTTACAAAACTATGTTCTAGAGAAGTTTTCCAGAAAAAGCTGTTTATCAATGTTCATGTATACTCCTCATATCAGCCGTGCCATTTAGAATTTTGTATTTAGCAACGAGAGATGTACTCTATGCACACATTGAAGATGGTCTATTGTCATTAGCTATTCCAGGAACATATTTATTTTGTCTATTTTTTGGACGGTAAGAAAAATTTTGATCAGATAAGATTATTAATAAAACATGGAGAGTTCAGGTAAAGAATAGAAGCTCAGCAGATGATAGAATAGAACTAAGAAACAAAATATTCAGAAGCAAGGATACTTTGAGCAAAATCTTATAATGAATCATTCCTGTAGTCTTTTATGTTTTTAGTATTTATGTACTAACTGGTGCATTTATTGTCATGATATTTGAAATGATAACTGGCGATATAGCAACGTTTGTAAGTAGACTGAAAATTTTCATATTTATTCCTGAAACTGTTAAATACTTGTATTTTTTAGGGTGTTATTTATTTGATTGTTATTACTACATTTGGACATGGTAATGTAGGATATTGGTCATTAATTTTACTGTTGATTTATTTTCTTCTTGCCGTTTTAGTATTCTTCTTATTATTTCGTGATACAACTGAAGGTGGTAGCTGTGATAGAATCGTGCCCAATAGTACATGTGGAAATGATAATACATGTTCGTATAAAAATTTTGAAGCATGGATGACAATGGTTCATTTTACGATGGGAGAATTTGATGTATGTTATTTTTTACTACATTATTCTAGTATATAAAATTTATTTGATTTAACAATAGTTTTCAAAATTTGATGTTACACATTATGCGTTTTTGGTAAAATCATTGTTTATTGTCTTCATGATATTAACACCAATTCTTTTATTAAACATGTTAATTGCATCCATGGGTAATACGTATCAACGTGTTATTGCCATATCAGAAAAAGAACGACAACGACAGGTATTTGTAGTTTATTTACATTAATTTCATAATTTAACAGTTTTCTCACAAATAGTGGGCTCAGTTAGTGCTCACCATTGAGCGTTCATGTTCAGCACGACAACGATTAAGCTATCAATCAGTATATTGTGTTGGTTTACCTGAACGACGAGATTTAATGGTAATTAAAGCGGTGCCAAAAACAAAAGCAGCACAACGGAAAGGGGCCATTGGAAGTTGGAAGGTAAAAAAAAGTCATTTTTTATGTTTATGTATTGTTCTTGTATGATGCACTATTTCAGCGTATGGGTAAATTAGTGTTATATTTGTTGAAAGAACAAAGTGCTAATGCTCGGTCCGTACGTTTACGGCGTGTGTCTCATCAATCTGTTGTTCTAAAACCAAAAGCACATTTTGATACAATGTTAGAAACACTTGCGTGGGAAAGAGATTTAGATTTATCATTACCAAAAAATGTTCAGTTAGATTCATCACAAAATACAAATGAATTACATGTAAGTCAATTGTCACCATATTCACCACCACCCGTATTTGAAGAAGAACAACTAGAACATGATGCTCCTCGACCAGAAATAGCTACGGCACAGACGCTGTTATTAGACGCTGAAGAGCAACAACAGCAACAGCAACAGCGTCCTCGCCGTACAATATCTGGTGATTTGATACCAGTGAATCGTACTGAATTATCTGAAATAAGATCGCGACCGTCGTATGTTAATTACGATGATTTAGATTTTATACAAAAAACAGAACGACAACATCGATTTTCTATGGTACCAGTTGACAGTGAAGGTTACACGGATCTGTTACTCGACCAACAAAAACAGTCGTCGGATAATGAGAATAATCATCTTGTAGTCAAAGGTAGAGGTAATCGTCGGAAAAAAAGTTTAATAAAACGACAATCATCATCATCTAGTATAAAATCGAGAACAAGTGAAACAACTTTTTGTTAGCTGCCGATTTTAGTTTGCAATACATTTTTTTTCTTTTTCTATATTTTTGCTCTAAATTTAATTGTGACATCTGCTTTTTTTACTAATTTTTGATATTTTTATTTTCTTATGTAAAGTAGAATATAAGCTTTTCACTGATCTTCAAAATTCTCTGAACACTTAAGACTTCGCTACTATTTCCATAATATAATCCGTTCTCTCACTTTGAAAGAGTAAAATTTTATCTTGTTTGTGAAGAACAAAAAAGAATGGTTATTTACATTTTATAAAAATATTATTTGTCAGATTTCATTGCCTTTGAGCGACTTATATTCGTACGATCTATAATCACCCAAATTTCGTATGAAACTTTTCACGTTACAGCAATATGTTCATCAGTTAAGTTGATACAATGATGTGTTTAAATAATTAGCATCAAAACAATTGCCTCGTCTCGAAGAACATATCTACCTGTGAAATCACATAGCACTCATTTGCTATGACCAATGTATTGTGCTTCCAGAAGCCACGAATATCGAAAAGCATCAAGTGTGATCGATATAATCGATGTTGAGTGTGGTATAGGAGTAGATTGTTAATTTAATCATACATAAGATTATTTTTCAAGAGAACAGTAAATAAATTCAAAATGATCAATATGATTTTTATAACACTTAATTCCTGACTCAAATCATGTTTCCAACACGACCCGAGTTTACACTTAACTTTTTCTGCAATCACACATATTCAGTTGTAAAATGTAGACAAAGTCAAAGAATATGTACGGAAATTTCAACGCTGGAATTCAATAACCTCATCCTTATCTCTTCCATGTCCCTCTGACATTCGCATTACCAAACAGATGTAGTTTATGAAGTCTTCTAAAAGTATGCTAATTTGGTTTATTAAAGCTATTGATTTAGTTTTTCTTAAACACGGTCAGTTCTTTGTACATATGTATGTGGTCTTTTTCACAGATGTGGATGTTGTAGAATTTAATTAACTGCATTCAGCTGGGAGAAGTTCAATTGACAATCAAAGATCTACGCTCGTAAGTTTTTTGATTAATAACGCTTACTTAAGATATCTTGAACAATCATGAAGAAAACGCTAAAAAACTGTACCGTTATCTTTATACGGATTGAAACTATAAACGAAGACTAATGTTTTGTTCGCGAGAGATTATAAAGACATTCTGCACAAAAAAGGCCGTGTAGTACCACATATATCAATGGTATCATCAGAATTTTCTAAAGAAATTTAGCTTCGAAAAATATGTTCAAAATTACACAAATGAAATGGATGAAAAGTGTTGCTTTTTGACTTGATAAAGCTGAAAATCTACTAAGTCTGAGTCTCGTTAGCCAAACATATGATGAGACTCAATCTCATTGAAACTTGTGTCACCACCATCTGTATCTGTCTCACTTAATTCTCTCTCATGTGATCGTATATTTGAGTGGTATGTAAAGTTTACAATTCAACATCTATCAATAACTTTGAACTTGACATTTGATTTCTTACTGTATTTATTATTGACTAATATTTATTTTTACTTTTAATGTGTTATATTGCTCATGCTCTCTCTCTCTCTCTCTCTCTCTCTCTCTCTCTCTCTCTCTAGTTCTAACAGTTAAATATCTGAAACTGATATCTATATATATATATATATGTACGGTACGTTATTATATATATGCAGAAACAACGCAAACTGATAGACTGAGCGTTGAGATATAAAAGTGCGACCATATAATAGAGAATAAAAAGCAAGAATCGCGTCAAATAAAACATTTTTTTTCTCCATTTCTTTGTTGCCTTTTGAAGTTGAGTATCTACACACATTCATCCTTTACTATAAAATGAAAAAAAATTTTTTTTCAATAAAAAATGATTATTCTCCCTATTCAGTAGTCATCACACACTTCATCATGTGGTTATGTGGTGAATAAAGTGTTCCACTTATCGTCCAAATTTATAGCTCCCCACGTGTAAAACACGATGGAATTTTTAAAAATTATTGATAAATTTTCTGGTACATTATCCTTTGCTAATGTTCGATCATTAACCGATGATTTTTTAATTGATCGTCTCAATTATCGTTACACATCATCTTTACTTGGTGTATTTGCTTTTATATGTGCTGTTCGAACATCATACACGGTACCTATTATCTGCTGGATCCCGGCACAAATACGACGATATGAAAAGGCAATTACGGCCTATTGTTATGCGAATAACACTTATTATGTTCCAGATGGACAACATGCTCCAAGAACAGCCAATGAACGTTATCAGGCACTGATATTCTATTATCAATGGTTGGTACGTATACATCATACAAAAAGGGATTTATGTATCATAGAGAAGCAATTCTAGCTTTCTGATTTGTTACTTTTTATGTCCGTTCTCAATCACATGCCAAATAGAATTAACATCAGTATTCTCTGATGTATAAATTCGTCTTTTCCTTTCAGCCATGGATATTTGGTTTACAAGCCATTTTTTTTTATTTACCAAAATTATTTTGGCAATTTTCTCTACACAATAGTGACTACAATGTGAGTGGGATACTAAAGGCGGCACACAAACTTTATTTATTACCAGATTTTTCTAAAAAAAAAAGTCCAACAAAATTACAAGAGCAACAATTGAACTATTTACATTCACATTTTTTTTCAAAAAATTTTATACCTGTTACACCCACAACAACAACTAAACATAGGAAACGTCTATTACAACGACGTCATTATTGTTATTTTTTTGTACTTTATCTCGTTACAAAATTTTTATATTTAGCGAATTTATGTGGTCAAATACTTTTTATTCATCTAATTATCGGGTCGAAAAATAAAGCTTACCCAAATATTAAATCAAAGCATTTTCTAACTGAGTTTAATCAAAAACTTCAATCGGGTATATCAGAATTAATTGACACAAGTTCATTTCCAAAACGAACACTATGCGATTTTACATTTCGTGAATTAGCGTCAAATCATTATTATACTGTTGAATGTATATTACCATTGAATATAATTGTTGAAAAACTCTACGTATTTTTATACATATGGTTTATCCTGTTAGCTTTTCTCATACTCGTTGATATTGTTCAATGGTTATTTCGTCTCATACGTTTTCTTAGTGAATCATCTCGACTGAAATATATTCAACATCATTTAATTGATCAGCATGATCCAAATCAAGTACAAACGTTTGTTCAACAACATCTGAATTGGGACACATATTTTCTTTTCAAATTATTATCGAAAAATATTTCGACATATGTTATTGTCGATATATTAGAATACTATTTTAAAACTCAAAAAAACAAGAAAAAAGACAATTAAAAAGACAATTTATTTTTGTGTAAATTTTGTATTTTGTGTTCTTAGACTTATATTAAATAAATTTATCTGTAAGAAAACAAACTTTGTTTTGAGTGATACCGCCTCAATTGTTTGTAGTTAAATAAGTCACCTAACCAACAATATCTTTGAATGTGTCTGTTGAAATCTACCTTGATATACAAAATGGCACCACCAGCCAGGGGCGCCTCGGTACCTCGGAGGTAGGGGGAGGGGGCGAGGTCAATTTTGGAGTAAACTTTTATGCTTTTAAAAATTGGAGTAAAACTAAAAAAAGAACGATAAATATTCTAAGCAGTTTTCTTCTACAGCAAGACTGAATTTTCTTCTATCTAACTCTATTTACTTCAACACAAAGCCTTATAATATATAAACACCTTGTAATATAAAAATACACTTACTAAAGCCATGATACAGTTGATTCTACTTATCTTATCTTATTTATGTACATGACAGTCATTTTATTTTCCATTAAACACCACAGAAAGAGAAAAAGCAAATGCTTTAGTCTACAAATGAAAGTGTATGTCTTATTCTGAAAATGGGAATAAGCGCTTTACTTCGAAACAGAGAGTAAGCCTTTTATACTCTAAAAATGAGAGTAATTGTCTTACTCTGAAAATATGAGTAAACGCTTTACTCCGTGGGATATTCTCGTATGCCCAAGACCTAATTTTTGGCGTAAGAAAATCGTGACTTCGGAGTAATTTTATTCAAAAAGCAGGGGAGAATCCCTGCCATCAGCGTCCGCGCTATACTGATTCTGTAGAGCAGCAAAACTGATAAATTTTCGCACAAACCGCAAATCACTAGTTATTTCGAAAGCGGAGAAATCTTCATTTTACTTTTCTAGTGATAGAGGTTAAACAGTGCTGTTGCCCAGATATTTTGACTTAACTTGTAACTAGGTAGCTACGAGGTTTTTAATTTATATGATGTTTTGAGCCGTGTTGGGATTTGACTGACGACCTTTTTTGCTAAATGACTCCGAAACCTCGTAGCTATCAAACAAAACATACAGATGTCTAGAATTCTGTTCTCAAAACCTGCTCATAAGATAAAGTTTATTTTTATATATTTTGTAGATATTAAATTATTCTTTCAAATAAAAAAAGTTTCATCGAGTTTTGAACAAGAAGATAGGCAGGAGTAGTGTTATAAGTTAAGTCAAAATAGCTGGGCAACAGCAGTGTTTAACCATTTTCGCTGGCCAGTTTGCCACTATTTGATTAGTTCACAAGTAGATCGTTACTTTCAAAAAAATCTTATTAACATTTTATTTTTATTTTGTTTTATTTTGTTTTGTTGAGTTAATCCAATTTCTGCTAGTCTTATTTCCATTTACTTTCGTAGCTGCTTGTTTCATACTGCTAACTACTCAGACTGCGTATATTCTGCTTTTAGGCAGGTATGCTCAATTATCTATCATATTTAGTAAGCTTTTAGTCTAGTCGCATTAAAGCTAAATTGTTCATTGCATTTGTTTTTCCGATTGTCGATACTTTGACGAGATGTGCGGTTCTCCGTTATTTATTGCATTTTTATTAAGTATATGAAAATTTTCATAACATATTTCATGAATAATATCTTTTTTTGCGAGCAATGTTCCGGTTTGCCTTTCAACAATAGTTTTCTTCATTCCATCCGTTCAATACTAAACGTTAAATGAGTGAATACATTCTTTTCATACCATAATTAGATTGTACACATAAATGTTGTCACCATGGACGTTAACGAGAAAACACTGTCAACGCAGACAAAA